TATCTATTCATGCAAACTATGAAAGTTAATGACTGACTGACCAGGTACAACTACCCACTGACAGCAGGTATTTCTATTTCAAAGAAACAGAAATGCTCTTAAGAAAATAAGACCTCTTAAGACATGCTTCTTAAGAAATACTGAAGTTACGACACAGTTATTGCTGAGATGTGGATAGGATGTACTTCTGAACAAGTACTTGAAATATAATGAAGGTTCTAGAATCTTACAATACAGCATTTGAGAAGCCTCAAAAAATATTCTCATCTTACTCCAGTGATATCCTAGTGCAGCTTGCTGCCTCAGTTAGTAGTTTTGTACAAAATAAATGTGAAACATTTTCACAGTATATGTCCTTGTGCTATACATGTATATATGTATATTAGATACAACTTAGAAAATACAGTAATTACATTCTGAAAACAGAAAATTCTGTCCAGAGTACTTTTCATATGCAAGCTATCCCCTAAAAGGACCCATTTTCCTTTGTGTTGTCTTTACAACTGATCACTGCACAGAAAACATCCAGCCCGATTTTATTTGTTAAAGTACAGGCTCCTAAACTAAAAAAGAAGCAGAGACTCGCTCAAATAAATTCAGAAAAATACTTCAGCGGAAGAATATTCATGCTCCTAATCATATGTTTTATTCCAATTTAATTAGCTTTGCCTCACTTCACCATCCTGGTTTTGGCTGGGATAGAGCTAACTTTTTTTCCCAGTAGCTGGTGTGGTGTTGTTTTGGATTTAGGATAAGAATACAGCTGATCACACCTGAGTGTGCTGCTGTTGAACAGTGCTTATACAGAGCCAACAATGTTTCAGCTTCTCACATTGTCTGGCTAGCGAAGGGTTAGGGGTGTAAAAGGAGCTGGGAGGGAGCCAGAGACAGGGCCCTCTGCTTGGGGGCTGGTGGGCATCAGTCAGCAGGCAGCCATTAGCTGCATTATGCACCACTTGCTTTGTGCATTTTTTAATTCCCTGTAACCGTTTTCTTTCCTATCAAGCTGTCTTTATCTCTAATAGTGAGTTTTACCTTTCCCCCTCCCTCATCCTCATTCTGGAGAGCAGCCAGTAAATGGCTGCATGGTGCTGAGCTGCCAGCAGGGTTAAGCCTCAATACTCAAATCATGTCAGGAGCACACATCAGCCCAGCACTGGAAAAGTACAGAATCCATTAAACATGAAACATGGCAACATGAGTGTACTAGCAAGGTGACAAAGTACACTGAAGGTATTTTGGATGCTAATGATGAAAACTGGTTGAAAAGAACTGCAAAAGGATCTGCCCTCAGAAAATCAGGAAACTGCTCAATAAGGCTGCAGGTAAAAATTCTTTGGAGCTAAGTGTAATGCAGTATAAATGAGAAAGAAATCCTAACTTTACATACAAAACCATGGCCTAACTGAGCTATACTGTTTTGAATTTAAGCACAAGTGAAGTAAAACAAGGTAACTGTGGATGCAGCCCAGTGAAAATAGTACTGTCCATAAAAGCCACAGGCCTTTAGCCAGCTACTTCATGCTCACTCTCACAAGACCTCAGCTGGCCGATGTAGGTAACTCCTTGTTATGAGATTTTGCTGTGAGTATGTGGCAGCTGGTAAATGCTATCTCTTATTATTCTGTACAGCCCAAGTGTGGGAAACAGCAAAGGCCTTGAAGACATGCACTGGTAGAACAGTACATGTTCAATACAGAACAGTAACTGATGATAAATCAGTGGTCTCATTCTGAGGAAGGGCTATCTCACGAACTACAAAAATACTACTCCTGCCTGAAGAAAAACAGCAGAAACTAAACCAAAAGAAAAAAAGCACAGCAACAAATAAGGCAGATGTGGCTCTGGGAAGCTATCCTCTGCATCTTGAAGCAGGAGTAATTAGAAACTCAGTGGAAAGTCACCCATCTTCTACGAGAAGCTGAGCCTGGGGAAGGTGGGAGGTCACCCACTGCTGCACACCATGGAGCATCAGTATGAGCACAGCGCATCTGGAAGGAGAGGTAAGGACTGACAGGGAATTGTGATAGGATGGTACAGCTCACAGCCCTTCAGAAAATGGTATTTCAGTGGATTTAACCTGGGCAATTTTTCATGAAAGGAAAGTTAACAATATGTAAGATAGTTCATGAAATATTTGGGGTTTTAGAGCAATTAAAATCTGTGCTGTTCAGCTATAAAAGATATGCAGGACTATGGGCAAAGGATCAACTAAAATTTACATCTGTAACTTAAAACGTCTGTATTGCAACCAAGTCAGCAAGGCAAGGCGCAGCCTGCACTGAGGCCGTGGAGGCCCGCACCCACAGGGGCGTACGGAGCCGCGCCGGCACCGCTCGTCGCAGCTGGGGAAGGTCCGTGTGCAGGCGTTATGTGCGCAGAACTTACTCTTTTTCTTTCTGGAGATATAATACGAGAGGGTAAATACGGCCGAGAAGAAAACGTGTTCCGGAAGTCGAGAGCTCGCAGAATTTGCTCCTAGTTAAACAAGGAAACAAAAATAAAACCGTAGCATCACACGCTTTCCTAGGCAGCCAAAGCCGTTCAGCGGGGCGCAGGCGCTGCTGTTCCGGAGCAGAGTTCGAAGCGGCGCTCGCAGGGCCGGCAGGGTTCGCACCGCAGGAACGTGGGCTCCTCGGCAGGCACTCGCTGCCTCGCCGCCGGCGGACTTCTTTTTTTACCCGCCCAGCCCTCCCCGAGGTCCGCAGGCCCCCGGCCGCCACGTACCCTGTAGGCGCTGAGGACGAAGGCGACCCGCTGGCGGGTGCTCTCCGCCGGCTGCAGGGGGTGGGCGGCGGCAGGCAGCGCCTCTTCGTACAGGTACTCGGAGCCGCAGGGGGACAGCAGCAGGCGGGCCCCGTCCGCGTAGTGCACCTCCACGGAGTCGTCCTCGTACAGCACCATCAGCCGTTCCGCGGCCATGGCCCAGGAGGCGGGCGGCGAGGCGGGTCGCCGAGCAGGGCCCTGCCTGCCCCCCCCCGGCGCGCCCTGCGGCATGGCGGGCTGCTGCCACGGCGTCTCCGGTGTGCGGAGTGAAAAGGTCCTTGTGATTTTTGTTTGTATTTTCTCACGATTTGATGGTGCGCCGCGTCTGCTGCAGTCTCCCTGCTCGTGTCTGCGCTCAGGCTGCGCAGGACTAAGTAATGATTCCTTCATACTTGAGTGAGAAGTGCTCAGGAGTGGCGTGAATGAAAACAGCTCCTGAAAAGGAAGTTACTGCCGTGTAAAGCAGTGGCTTCTGGTTAAAATACAGAAATAAAAACGGATGCCCAGCCTACGTGGAGTACGGGAGAGTCATGGGCCTGTTTGAGCACATGCAGAGGGGAGGTCACAAAAATATCCAAGGGATGGAACAGCTCCCCTGTAAGGATGGGCTGAGAGCTGGAGCTGTTCAGACTGGAGAAAAGGCTGTGAGGTGACCTGAGAGCGGCCTTTCAGTATCTAAGGAGGAGCTATGGGAAAGAAGGGGACAGACTGTTGGTCTGTTATTAACTGGAGATGTCCCGGCGGACTGGTGACTGGCAAATGTGAAGTCCATCTCCACAAAGGGCAGGTAGCTGCAGACCTATCAGTTTCACGTTGGTAGCCGGGAAGGTTATGGAACGGATAATCTTGGGAGCCATCGTGGACCAATTAAAGGTCAACCAGGGGATCAGACCCAGTCAGCATGGGTTTACAAATGGTAGATCTTGTCTAACAAACCTGATTGCATTTTATGTACTTAGTGGATGAAGGTAAGGCTGTCAATGTGGTCTACCTGGATTTCAGTAAAGCCTTTGACACTGTCCCCCACAGCATTCTCGTGGAGAAGCTGGTTGCCCATAATTTGGATGGGCGTACCCTCTGCTGGGTGAAACAGTGGCTGGATGGCCAGGCCCAAAGAGCTGTGGTCAATGGAGTTAAATCCAGCTAGCAGCGGTTATGAGCGGCATCCCCCAGGTGCTCGGTACTGGGGCCACTTCTATTTAACATCTTTGTTAATGATCTTGATGAGGGGATTGAGTGCACCCTCAGTAAATTTGCAGACAACACCAAGTTGGGAGGCAGTGTTGGTCTGCCTGAGGGTGGAAAGGCACTACAGAGGGACTTGGATAGACTGGATCGATGGGCCAAGGTTAACTGTATGAGTTTCAGTAGGGCCAAGTTTTGGTCCTGCAATTTGGTCACAACAACCCCAGGCTTGGGGAGGAGTGGCTGGAAAGCTGCCTGATGGAAAAGGACCTTGGTGTACTGATGGACAGTTGGCTGAATATGCCCACGTGGCCAAGAAGGCCAATGGCATCCTGGCTTGTATCAGGAGTGGTGTGGTGAGCAGGACTAGGGAAGTCATCCTGCTCCTGTACTCAGCAGTACTTCAGGTGAGGCCTCACCTCGAGTACTGTGTTCAGTTTGTGGCAGCTCAGTACAGAAGGGACACTGAAGTGCTGGAGCAGGTCCAAAGAAGAGCAACAAGGCTTGTGAAGGGCTTGGAGAATATGGTCTATGAGGAGAGACTGAAGGAACTGGGGCTGTTCAGTCTGGGGATAAGGAGGCTGAGGGGAGACCTTATTGCTCTCTTCTAATACCTGAAAGGAGCTTACAGCAAGAGTGAGGTTAGTCTCTTCTCACTAGTGACAGGTGACAGGATGAGGGGAAATGGCCTCAAGTTGCACCAGGGTAAGTTTAGGTTGGATATCAGGAAACACTTCTTTACAGAAAGGGTTGTTAAGCACTGGAATGGGCTCCGAGGGAAGTGGTTGAATCACCATCCCTGGATGTGTTTAAAAACCATTTGGATGTGGTGCTCAAGACATGATTTAGCAGAGGGTTGTTAGTTAGGGTAATATGGTGAGGTCATGGCTGGAATGAATCTTTACAGTCTTTTCCAACATGAGTGATTCTATGATTCTATGACAGGACAAGGGGAAATAGTTTCAAACTAAAAGTGGGAAGATAGTTGATTTAAAGCAAACAAGTGTAAAATTTGATAGAACTGGATTATAGTTCAGAAATGCATATTCTAGTTTTGGTTAGTCTTTATTCAGGTTTTATCTGTTAAAAATACAAATAATGGTACATCTCTTATATTTTAAAATATTGGAGAATTTATGCTGGCGTAGTTTTTTTGCTGGCAACTACAGTGCTAGGGTCACAACTCAAAACTTGGTAACTGTGGAAGTGCGTCAAGCAGACTGAAGTAGGTAGACATGGCATCAGCAATTCAGGAAGTACAAATATGCAGTATCATTCTTGATTTTTGGCTGGAACATCATTTTTGAAAATCTATATAAACTCGAAGGATCTATGACTGAGATGATTTGAACTATAATTGTGTCAAAGAGAAGCAAAGTTGCAAATTTGAGTTATTACTAATTCAGTAAGTGAGTTCTGTGTAGGAAGGAGAGAAAGGCAGAACATGATGATATGGAAATGCCAGTCCCAAGAGAAATAAAAATAACTAACAATGCAGAACAAGTGACAGTGAAGCTCAGTGCCACAATGGATGTCACTTGAAAATAATCCTAACTGTGCATAATCATAGGCACCTGTCCTACTTGATCCAGACTTCTTTCTGTAGCACTACAATTACTCTTAAAAGCAAAATTCAAAAGCTTAGTGATATTTTCCTAATTAAAGAAAAGTAGACCAATAGCAAAAGTTCTTAGCAGAAAGAAATTGCTGAGAAAGTTTCTGAATATGAAACTTATTCACAGCAGATGGCATGCAAAGCAATGTGTCCTGCAGCCCTGCGTTAAATGACTTTAAGCAATGTGAGATCTAGTACTAAACGCTTTCACTCAATCACAAAAATCACTCTTTGCCAAGAGTGTCAAATATTGTGCATACTTTCTGTGGCGTGAAGTTAATCAGTTGGTCACAAGAACAATTCAGATTCCATGAACATTTCTTGTTGGAACTGTACGTAAAAAGTTGGCTTTGCTTCTCTCTTCAAGTTTCCATGTTACCATTAACTTCGTTGGCTTAGCACTGTGCCACAAAAAAAGCATCTTTTTAAAGAATTGTTCACCTGCAAGTTGATGTTTAGAAGCTTATAGATGAAAAGCACTTTTACACAGTACACTACTAATTTGTAAATGTTGAAGCATAGGTGAAATCATCCTTAAACATCTGGAGGCTCACCTCTATGATACATAGAAGAGCTACTGGCTGTTAAAAACTGGTCAGATAAGCAGCAAATGGTGACTGTTGCAAAGCAAAGGCCGCTTCCTTCTTCTGCACCCTTACATCTCATTCCATTGTCAGTAATTTGTATTAGACTCCTGTGAGATTTAGGATAAGCAGGAAAGACTGTTGTATTCTTACGGTAAACACAATATTGTCTTCCTTACTGAGTAAAGGAGACTTCAAGCCAGTTTTTCCTTATTGTAGTAAAGCTGTTCTAAAGCACTCACAAACCTTGTGTATGTAGAATCTCCACTACCTTGAACGAAAGTCCCAATATTCAGCTCTCATTATTTTTCCTGGAAAAACAGAAAAAGCCTATTTTGTAAGTATTGATCTGGATTGCCTAAAATATACAGTTCCTAATTCACATTTTTGTACAAGATGACTTGGGGTATTTTCTTAATTACATGTGAGACACGTACATCAGCTTGTACAGATAGTGTATGTATCCTGGTTTTCATAAAAACACGCTGCTCAAGAGGTGCACATTTGAACATGTAAGGCAGAGTCCCCTGAAGAAGCTCTTAATTTACTGTAATGAATTTTGCAAATCCTTCTTCCTTTGTCATGCTACTGAGAATTTCCATTTTCAGAAATATGTTTTCCACAAGAAATCTGCTTGTAAAGTCGTAAGAAGACTGACCTACATGTGAATTGAAATTTTTAAAGAAAATTACGCACAATCTAATGTCAGAGAATGCACGTGTTAAGTATCTTCATCTGGAAATAATTTAATTTACACGTTTCTGCTTCTTGGGTTTTCATCTAGAGACTCTGAAATGTTAATACAGATCTGCTGACCGCTACTATCCTTCTATAAATTTCGCATCCTCTCTGCAGCTGCTACTTTAAAGAAAAAATGGACTTTTGCAGGTAGGAGAAATACAGAAGAATCAAAAAATTTTTTTCTTTTTTTAAGCAAAAAGGCAAAACAGTGAAAATATAACAAAGGAAACAAAGCTAGTTAAATTTTATTTTCCAAAACTCCAACCTAAATGAATGTTCAATAAACACCCAGAAAACAGTGCTCACTGTATTAGCAGACGCACAAGTCATTTAACCAAACGTATTACAGTGAAATATTAACAGAATTATTTACATGCATATTTACAACAACATGTTCTTTACAGTAGCTACTGTTTAGGATTTTTTTTTTTTTTTTTTTTTGTGTGTGTGTATTTGTGTAGTAAGGGATTCTACTTAGTCTAACCAGAAACAGATAACAAGAAACAGTACAACTGAGTTTGGCAACAACAGCAACTATGGAATTTATAGACTAACATGATTATATTGAGTCAAAAAAGAGCAGTCAGTTTCAGAACATTAACATTTATGAAATACATGAACATACTCAAACTACAAAATTAAGACAACTTATATAAAATAATTAGAAGGATGGAGAAAATTACAAGTGTTGCCAGAAGGTTAGACATGTTAGATACATTCAAAAATATATCGAGCACTGCACATACTCTTGAGGAGCACTGGTTCAACCATAACTATATTCATGTAGTCTTGAAGAACACGGCAAATTTAAAGGATATTTAAAGGATAGTTTTTGCTCGTAAAAGTTAGAAATAAGCTTATCTGAACCACAGATCTTGAAAGCACCTGACTTATAAAATACAGCTTAGTTTTTCACAATATCCCCATATTTCATGTTAATGTGTCCAGACTTCACACAAAAGGGTAGAGGAAAGAGGGAAGAAACAAAGCAAAAAAAAAAGAAAAAAAAAGAAGTGTGTATATATATATATGATTATATATAGATATCCCCACAAAACAACCCACAAGACACAAAATCTTCACAAACTACTTCCCATGATTCCATGATTGAAATCTACAGAGATAATCTGTATTTGGATCATACTCTCCTTAGCAATAAGAAAAGCAACAAAACAAACAAAAACAACAAAAAAAGGATAGCTTGCATGTGATAAAAGAGATGGGAGAGTTCTACTGCATATTAGAAGCAAGCAATTAAAAGATCAAATTGTTCTTTCCTTTCTCCCACAAGAGAAATTTCATGGGACAGTTCCGCTTTAGTTAAAATTTAATTTCCATTACGATATTTTTAAGTTGAATTTTTATTGCAGCCAAAACATTGTCCGTACACCTGTACATAAAATAAACTATGATATATACACAACATTTTAAGATACAGGGCATGTGATTACAATTTTTGGCAGATTCTGTTTAACAAAAGGGAAACTGTATCTTCAATTGTTGGAGAAACTTAACTTCCTTATTTTGGTACAAATGTTTCAATTTATGCATCCCCTTACACTCTAACCATACCTAAACTGCTTTAGCAAACATATTTAATATTTATGTGTAACTTCTCACTGTTTTCTCCCATGTTCAGATTCTAGACAGAATTTTTCATATGCTTCTTCAATTTCTGGATCCATCTCATCATCAATGTCATCAAAGTATCTATAAAAAAAACACAACACCAAAAGTAAACTTAAGTATACAGTTTCAGCAACAGTATGTTGGTGAAATATTCATATAGACGTCAAGAACAAAACAGACCTTTACAGTAGTTGTTAACTGTAACATTAATTAAAAGGGGATGAAGAGGAAAAAAAGCAATGGCATGGAGAGTAAAAACCTCTAAGCAGCACAGGTACAAATCATTACAGTGTTTGACACCATTTTAGATGATATCATGTTGCCTACTAGGTTAAAGAAGTATCTTGGATGACAGACAAAGTGGATAATACAATGTAAAACAACTTCCTTCCAAAATTTCACAATGAATTTGTGCTAATCTTTTTGAAAAAAGGTTAATTAGCATCACCTTCAGTTAGTCAACGTCCTAGTTCAAACACTGCATCAACTATCATGTTTGCACATGAGCTGGAAGAAGTTATTATATGGACAACCTATACTCCAAATTGCTAATACACATAAGAAGGCACTCAATTCATCTCTTCTGTATTTGTATTATAGTACCTTTTACTAAATCATATCCTGCCCGTTTTTTTTTCTTCTTCAGGAAAGACCTGTTATACTTAGGTCAGAGAAAGACTGGATTCTGTTAATAGTAATAAGTATTGCAGAGAGTGAAGACTACCACAGAGTTTCGAAACAGCACTGAAAACTGATGGGGTTCACTTAACAGCTTTCTACTCCCCACAGCTAGCAGAAAGACCATGGAACACAGTCTCCTGGAAGATACATGAAGGTACATGTGAGCTGAGGAGGTGAGCTGAGACAGCCAGCACAGCTTCACCAAGGGCAGATCATGCCTGATCAATGTGGTGGCCTTCTATAATCACAGCATCAGCTGACAAAGCAAGGGCAACTGACATTGCCTCCTTAGACTTCTGTAAGGCATTTGACATGGTCCTACAAAATACCCTTATCTCTAAATTGGGAAGAGATGGATTTGAAGGGTAGGCTATCCAGTGGAAAATGAACTGATGGGACGGTCATAGCCAGAAGGCTGTGCTCAATGGCTCTCCAGGTGGAGGCCAGAAATGAGTGGTCTCCCTCAGGAATCTCCTTGGGAGTGGTGCTCTTCAGCATCTTGATCAGTTACACACACAGTGGTTTTCTGTGCCAGTCTGCAGATGAATCACAGAAACACCAAGGTTGGAAAAGACCTACGAGATCATGCAGTCCAACCATCCACCTATCACCAGTAGTACTCACTAAACCATATCCCTCAACACAACATCCAAATGTTCCTTAAGGAATAGCTGTCATTCAAAAGGACCTTGACAAGCTTGAGAAGTAGAGTTCGATGCAGCCGAGTGCCAAGCGTTGCACTTGGGTCAGGGCAATCCCAGACATGTACATCCTGGAAGAAGAACTAACTGATAGTAGCCCTGCAGAGACAGGCTTGGGGGTTCTAGAGGACAGAAAAAGGGATACAAGCCAGCATTGCATGCTTGCAGCTGGAAAGCCAGCTGTATCCTGAGCTGCATTGAGGAGCCTGAGTGAGCCCTCAGGTAATTTGCAGATAACACCAAGTTGTAAGGAAGTGTTAATGTGCCTGCACATACAAAGACCTACAGAGGGATCTTGAAAGGCTGGACTGATGAGCTGAGGCCAACTGTGTGAGGTTCAACAAGATCAATTGCCAGGTCCTACTCTTTGGTCACAACAATACCATGCATGACAACAGGCTCAGAGCAGAGTGGCTGGAAGACTGCAGAGGAAAAGGTCCTTGGGGGTATTAATCAGCAGACAGCAGAACATGAGCTGGCAGTGTGCCCAGGTGGCCAATGGCATCCTCTCTGCAATACTGATTATTATGAATGGAAATACAGTAGTCAGGAGTAAGGAGATGATCATTTCTCCGTACTTGGCAATAGTGAGGCTACACCTTGAGTACTGCATTCAGTTTTGGGCTCCTAACTACAAGAAAGATATTAGGGCCTGGGAATGTGTACAAAGAAAGAATTCTTCTGAGTGCTCAGGCAGTGGAACTGGCTTCCCAGAAAGTCTTCCCAACCTTCTGCTGTCCCTGGAGGTTTTCAAAAGCAGGGTAGCTGTTGCCACTGAGGGACATGTTTTAATAGGCATGATGGTGAGGGAATGATTATTGGACTAGATGATCTTAGTGGTCTTTTCCAACCTCAGTGGTTCTATGAAAAAGATTCTGTGAAAAGAGAGGTCAGCAGAGGGAGGTGATTATCCCCTTCCAGTCTGCCCTTGTGAGGCCCCACCCACAGTACTATGTTCAGGCCTGGGGCCCTCAGAACAAGAAGTATGTGGAGCTGTTGGAGCACATCCAGAGGAGGCCATAAAGATGATCAGATGGCTGGAGTACCTGTCCTATGAAAAAAGTTAAGGCAGGTGGACTTGTTCAGCTTGAAGGATAGGCAGCTTCAGGGAGACCATATTGCTCAAAAGGGAGCATATAAACAGGAGGAAGACCAACTTTTTACAAGCTTTGATAGTGGCAGAACAAGAGGAGATGGTTTTAAACTAAAATGATAGAGATTTACATTAGACAGTACGAGAAAATTCTTTACTTGGAGGGTGGTGAGGCCCTGGAACAGGCTGCCAGAGAAGTTTTGAATGCTCCATCCCTGGAGGAGTTAACGGCCAGGTTGGTTGGGACCCTGGGCAGCTGGAGGTACTGGATGGCAACCCTGCCTAAGGCAGAGGAATTGGAACTAGTTTATCTTTAAGGTCCCTTCCGACCCAAGTCATTCTGTGTATGATAGAATGGGAATGTAATTCTTAAAAAGTCAGCAGCTAATGACTCTCAGTAAGTGTGCAATTGTTTGAAGTTATTATCTTCTGTGCATGAGTTCCAACGAAGGCAATCACATATCCTCCTAGAATCATAGAATGGCCTGAGTTGAAAAGGAATCACAAAGATCATCTAGTTTCAACCCCCTGCTGGTTGGTTGGCGAAACCACCAGACCAGGCTGCCCAGAGCCACATCCAGCCTGGCCTCTTATCTGTACTAGGGCCAGAAATGTTAGGTTTCACACAACCATGGTAACTGTCAGGGAAATATATAAAAAAATAATTTCTTGAGCACTGCCTTAAATAATCAGTCCTCTTTCTCTTGTAGTGTAGATGCACAGAGACCCCATTTACTGCATGAAAGTTGCAAGAAATAGCTGACAGAAGATCAATACTATACAATTGCATAAGCTTTTCTTAAGCTTTCAGCAAAGAATGTTCTGAAGTCAGTTCTCATAAAGGCTGAGACAGTCTTCCACATTCAGATACACTTTTTTTTTTAAAGTGCTATCTGTCTTCATTTTGCATTTAATTTGATCTTACAAGCACAATCTGTTCAAATAGATGTTTTTACTTCAATATTAGCCTGTTGATTTCTGATGGCATCTCTAATTTATGTTCACCCATAATTTCTGCAAGTACCCTTAGCAGATGGAAGCTATTCTATCCAAGTCTTCTAATTTACTAAGAAAAATATTGATCTAGGCCAGAGCTGTTATCAAACATGAAGCCAGCACTGACAATACTTTCTAGATTCAAATTTCTTTCAACAATATGATTACAAAGCTCAACCTTTAGACCCTGTTCTCTAAACTTTATTTTAGACCCTGTTCTTTCTAGTGGCTTCCAATTAGGTTCTTAAAAACCAATATCAGAAAATCAGACTATATTCTCATCTACTGCTTCCTCCTTTGCTATGAGGTTGCTTTTTGTGTTTTACAAAAATACTTAACAGCCATGTGACTGGGGAATACAATTTATGCTTAAGAGAAAAACCTAGCAACCTACCCTGTGAAAGGCTGACTATTGTCATAATCTCTGGCTATGACAAACACACAACTCAGTATATGCCAACTCAGGCTGCCTCACAATGCTTGAAGCTCAGGTGCTTCACTTTTTTTAATGCTGAAAAAAACACAAACTTTGCACCTGTTCAGAAATAACTGAAACTTCATTACAATATTCAGAAGGATAAATATTTGTTTTGAACTTGTGTGATTATAATCCAACATATACCATAACAAATATTTAACTTCTACTGTAGGTTTGAGCAATAGTTATTATTTAATTTTTGTCAAGATGGCATTCTTAAGTTTGCAGTAAGAACAACTAGTATCTAGAAAGTTATCTTTAAGGAAGTTATTCTAGAAGTATACATACAGATCTCCAGCTCCTGATAAATCTGTTCCATTCTCTTCATAATCTGGGAACCAATCCTCTCTTTCAAGCAACTCTTGGTATTCTTCTTGGTAATCTGACATAGTAAAAAGCCAGACGGAGATATATACAGTGAGATCAGTCCCCTAAATTAACAATTATCTACACAGTTTGAAAGTAGGTTATTTAATGAAACCATAAATGGAATGAAACAGTAGGAAAAAAAAAATAGTACAGCGTTTTTTCAAGACATCAACCAAACTCCAAGAATAATATCCATAATCCCACAGAACTGTAAAGGTAGTCACAGATACCTTCATCTCAAATGACACCATACTATGCTGCATCCAGATGTTAGAAAACAAATGCTAGGCAGTTAAGGGTCATATTTTAGTGAACTGATGATCTAGAAGATCTTTTCCAATCCAGCAATGATTCCATGATTCTAACAGTGTATAAAACTAAGTTTCCTGGCCTTGAAAAGAGACCAAGTGCTGAGGAATACTTTGAACTAAAATACATATCCTTAATTTCAAATATCTTCATTTTCTAAATCCTGAGTAAGGGATGTTTTGCACAATTCAAAGCCAGAAATTCATACATAATTTTGTCTTTTAAATTTCAAGAGTTTCAGATGTTTTACAAAGAACTTCATGTGTACTTAGGCAAGATTACAATTAATTACAACTTATTAAAGAAAATATACGTTAAACAGGATGTACCTGGATCTGCTGCAGTGAAAGGAATGCCATCAGAAGTGTAAAATGTTGGCTCATTCTAAGGATAAAGTTATAGAGAAAATCACATACATTCAAAGAAGCAGTTGTTTCAAGTTTTTAGCGATACAGACGTCTATGAATCAAATTAAATTCATATAAATTAAGGAACTGAAGTACATTCTTACCATAAAATAGTTTGGGTCATTTTCAGGGGTAGCTTCTGTATGTGAAGAAGTTCCAAGAACTCTACCCCAGTTACTTGATCGCAGTTCTACTAGTTTCAGAAGCATATGTTTCACATCTCTGGTAATACCAAACAGGAACACCACAGAAGTTAGAATGTTCTCTTGCTAAGCAAGGAAATTGGCATCTGTTATCCTACGAATGCTAGATGGATACCTCACAGAATAAGCTCCAAAAATAACCAAAAATTTGTTCCAACCTACAGGTAACTTTGAGTCTTTCCCCCATTTCCCGCTCCGCCTCCCCTGGCAAATCTAAATGCTCTGTGTGTCAATTAAGAGATACTCACTCTCTCCACTTCCTATGTGTTGATGTAGGGAGTCCATGTTATATAGAAACTGCTATAGTTTTTCTCAATATAACAAATCTGCAGCACAACTAGAGTAACACATCTTCTTGTAAAAGGTTAGTATAGTAGGGAGAACAGAGAGGAGGGTGGGTGAACGATATTCAAACATCCAGTTTATGCTTCTGAATTTAGCTCCCTACTTCAAACTGAAATTCTGTACTCAATGGGGCAAAATTAAGGTCTTCAATATATTGAGTATCACCTCTCCTTACTTCCCTAAAATAAAAGAAGTTGCTTTCTTCTTTGAAGAAATTTCACGGAGAAGAGTTCTTACTGAGAGAGGAAAGAAAGTATCTTCAGTTGTTTCCTCTACTTTCTGCAGCGTGTAGTAATACCTTGCCAAAAAGGTATGTTCAAAAAGGAAAAAAAAAAAACAATACAATTGTATTCCATTTTGCACCTTCAATTACAGTGATTTAAATACCATATTTAAGGCTTAAATTCTGGTTTAAAAGTATGAACAAGGAGATATCATCATCATTACATTGATACTTGCTTTTAAAGCCTAAAGCACTTAAGAGAGAGCATAAATGTTGTTAACCACATCTATTCAGATAGAGAATAAAAACAAAAAAAATCCCAAGACTATCAGTTGAAAAATACTACATACTAGATACAAAGTTACCCAAAAGGACCTCAATTTTAGTGAACAAAAGTTTTTTAGGGAAGGCATGTTTTGGACATGTTCAGTACTCCTGAGGATTTTCAAGCTTTTCTGTTTAGTGAAGCAAACAGAACAAGGAACAAATTTATCTTTTCACCTGCTACAGTTTGCATCCAATACAACATTTTCAATTCTCTGAATCACTTCAGTCATATCATCCTTTCCTTTTTCTTTCCAAGCATCTTCTAAAACTGAGCCTGTCAACTAAAGACAAGGGATGAGTACAACTTTTTAAAAGGCAAATTACAGAAAACTTTAAGAAACTGTCAATATAATAGGTTCTGTAACATTCAGATAATAAAGTAGGATTTGATATATGATAGAACATTTTGCTGAAACAAACAAACAAACAAAAAAACCCTCAAGAAAACGAAAGTGATAGACCTTCTCAGTATTTTTAAAACAGAAAGCATGCCCCAAACCCTACAATTTATTGAAATTGATTACTGTTTTCTCCCACAACAAAAGTGGCAAAAGACCTGAAGGGATTGCTTACCCTTTTGCTTCAATTCTATTGCTCTTGTATACGGTCCTGCATTTTAATACTTTTGAATAGTATATAGCTTTCTTTTATTTGCTCAAGTTCATAATGGTATTAATGAAAAAAGTACACTCCACGTTACTGACAATGTAAGCCATAAAAGCCCATACAGATTTCCTCTCATTTTATGTAACTGACAATGTAAGGCATAAAAGCCCGTACACATTTCCTCTATTGCAGTTTTGTTTCCCTCATCACTCTCAAAGCTGAGATACATCTATTATCTCAGAAATAAAATGCTTTAAGCAAACATTTCCTTATCTATCAGGGATTTTAAAAGTAATATTCTTCCACTTATCCAAAACCACTCCATTTTCTCTTCCCAACCTTCAAGCACTTAAAAAAAGGAAGCAAAGACTTCCATAAAACATGCTGCATTCACTCTATGCATTACAGAAGCTCAATCCACTGACTTCATGCAATGCTCATTTCTCTTTTGAGGCATTCAGCTCAAGCATTCACAGGGCATGGAAAAACATCACAGCAAGGATACCCAAAAACTACAGTTGCTCAACTCCACTGATGTTTATGCTGAATAGGAAACTAACCTTCTCCTTTCACCCAACCAATTCTGAACTTCTACTTATCCATGATTATAAATCTCTCTATATCACATCACTGGTCTGTAAAACAAACTGTGATATGATACTTCTGCTAGCCTAGATCTCAAATCTGTTACCAAGGAATACATTTGGCCTCTGGCATGAAGAAATAGGTTTTCTCTTGACTTTTCTTTCACTTTCCCTGTTTTTTTTTTCCTCCTATCTTTTCTCCTCTCTCCACTCCAGCCCCCACTTGGATTCAGCAGCAGGAACCATAGATGACCAGATGTCATTCTCTTTGCTTCCCATTATATGTACTGATGTACTCTATTTTTTACTTACCCCAGATGAAGAAAAATCAAAGCATTCTAATATTTGTATTTCAACTACAGTATGATGCACACACAGTTACATAAAGAAACAGTGCCGATGAATTTTGTCCTCACTTGTGAAATTCCTTTTTTTTTTTCATTTAAAACTACTCTCACCTTCAGCAGCTTCACAGCACATATCAAATTACTGTCCACAGGATTAGAGAAAAGCGCATTTAGTAATTCCCGAAGGCCTTCTTGAAGAATTTCTGCTCGTGTTACCTGTCCCTTTGTTCCCTTAATCTGCAAGACATTAATAACATACTTAAAAAACTTAAGCTTCAGAAATTAATTTAGTTATATTTTCTCTCCTAAATGCTGCGTGATTAACATAGTTAATTACTTGGTAATTAATTGCAGTTTAACTCTTCAGCTGGAAGAATTCACCAACTAGCGCAACTATTTTAGAACACAGGCTGAAAGATATTCTTATAAATCTAACCGAAGCATAAGAATGCATTTCTAGCTTTCTCTTTTTTGTTACTAAATTGCTGAGAAAAAATGCAAGATGCCTGGCAAATAGTCTGTATCATCCCAAACTCTTGGAATCTCAGGTTCTTCCTACAGCTGTAATAACTTACTTCTGTAAGGCATTCTTCATGTATTTTAAAATTATAGAAAAGTGTTTGAAATTAAGAGGGGTAACTCCACAAAACTGGACAGCTCCTTCTTCCCTCATACTTCCTGTAAAGATTCCTTTTTTACTTCCAGAAACCAAAAAGTACATTTCAAAGCCCACTTATGTACAAAAATGGAAGAGTTGGAGAATTGCTTTTTTTTCTCATGATAGAAGAACATTTTTATCTCATTAGATTATATCCTTGAAATACTCCAGTAAAAAAACCCACAAAACTGTCAAGCATATTACAGAAGTTGGTGACTTTGCTGAACTCACAGGTATAAGAGTCAAGTAAGGTTATCTTGTACAAAAAAATAGAATGTATGCACTACAGATAGAAAAAACGGGTCTAAAGAAAAGACTAGGTGTTTCATGTATAAGCCAAGGATTCAAACCTTAAGAAGAAATCCCACTAATGGTCTCAATTTCTAATTGCTTATTTTGAAATCTCCCACCCCTTCTTCAAGCATTTAGTAGCTCCAGCTAGTGGCCAAATCTGCTTTTGATAGATTTTAACATCTGAGGGTTTTGCAAGAGGAAGGAAAATATCAAAAATCTTCACTCCAAATTTTCCAAAAAAAAAAGTGGGTATGACCAGGCAAGTTTTAGGAAAGGTAGTCTATCGTTGGTTCTTTTAATGAACTCTTATGCTTTTTTTAAAAAAGGCATCTTTATACGCTTTTTTCTTTTAATGATCCTGTCCATTTTTGCTTGTTTCTTCGTCACATAAAATGTTCTAAATGTTTTGGCTTATTCACTTCTACATAAAGAAGCAACAAAAGCCAACACAAACCATACCTGAAATGATGCCTTTCATTTCAGTATTTGCTCAGACACAACAAAAATTAATGAAGAACCATGTGAAAAATAACTTTCTTCCTACCTCTAGGTTAAGGTAAAGTTCACCTAAGAACAATACAAAGGCATGAAATTGTTTTTGAGTAGCTTCATCTCCTTTTGCAGCTTCATCTCTATTTTCAAACTCTGCTCGACACCTGAAAACATTAAACAAAATCATATAGCTATTGTCTGTAAGCATCCCAACACATACAATATGCTACTGATCTAGTACAGCGCTAAGAACTTATGAACTGTGTTAAAACTGTTCCATGTTGAATCTTGGAAAGCATGATCTGTGAAGGAAATGAGAGGACTTCACAAAGGCAAAGTGCTTTTTGTCCTCAGTAAATAAATATGATGACATGACTGTGGTTTCAAACACTGAGATATTGAAGACAAAAATACACCTAATACAATATGAATGCAAGTTTAACACAGGTATCTAAATGTTAACAGAAATACAGGAGGTACTGAAATGCTTCTTCCCATTTTAGGTAGTGCTCACATCGCCACGTATGTCTTTACACTTGATAAATTCTTTATGCCACAATTTTAAATGACAGCTACGCATAACTTAGTTATAACTGGTGGTGTAAGCTGAATACATTTAACAGCATTTATAACTAGAGGTAATATGGCAGTGACACAGTATTTTAGCCTTCAACCAGCGTGTCAAGGGTTGCGCTAGTTTACACAGCAGTTTGAAACCAGTTCAGAATGAAAGGAAAACAAGACAATCTCAAACGTATTCTCAATATCTACACACTGAGATTAAGAAATGGACTGGGAAATGTTTGAGAAATCCAAACAATTTTAGGAGTTGAGATATCACATCTTACGTACAAATTTGGACTGAGAAAATGTATTCATGTAGTTAGCCTTTTTATCCTCACTCCATCCCAATTTCATCCATAGTAGATGCAAAAGCATAAGCAACCTCAAATTTGCATTTTTAGGATGCTAATTTTATCACTGGGTTGGTTTTAAAACCAATAATCACTATTACTAGGGATTTCCTTCATTCATTCAAGAAACAATTCCAACTGTTCAATTAAAAGACAAGATAAAAATGATGATTTGTAGTGTCACTACGAAGGAGAAAAGCTTATTTCCTTTGCAACAAGGACAACAACAGAGTATTTTCAGCTTTTCCATAAGGTACTGTTTCCGATTTCAAAAATTCATTTTGATGATCTTTTAAGCTTACCATGCTTTTGCTTGTAAGTATCCACGTACTAAGTGAAACTTTTAAAGTAAGCCTTATGCTTAAAAAGCCAAAAGTCCTTAAAGAAAAAAGGATTATTTTTAAACACTCCTGAAGTAAAATGTATTAATCCTTCAAATGTCATACGCTAAGACTTTAAAGGAGACACAATCATTTAAAAGATGTTGCATCATGTGATCTACGAAGTCTAATCACTGAACTGTAATCCCCCACATTTCTGAAAATTGTGGATCATTCTGCATTTTATGCATCTATTTGGTGTGATAAAGTGATTTGGCTGATCAATGAACACAGCAAAAGCAACTTAGACGATCAGTGAAAAATCTTTACACAGCAAGTCCAGCCACATAAGTAATTCAAGAAAAAAAAAAAAACCAAGTTCCAGTAAGAGTCAAAGAACAAGGACAGGACAAAGAAAATCAGTATACTATGTAAATTTTTAGGATACTTTTGAAGTTGACTAGCTTTCAAATTCACTCTATAATTTGGTACTGAGTTCAGAAGAGACTATAGAGCCTGAACTGAATCCTGTTTTTGTATTAAAACAATAAAATGTGCATATATTCAATATCCAGTATGCACCTCTGCCTTAATAGCTCTCAATTTAAAATCCTTCTGTTTTGAATACATACTTCTTTGGATGCTAATTTAACAGTTACATACAAAAGACGACGACACACAATCCAGCCACAGGAAGTAATAGATGTTAAAAGGACACACTGATGCTCACCTTTTAAGTAACAACTGTCGGAAGTTCCCACTTTGTGGACTAATGGTTAGACAGTGAGATAAATAGTTACATAACCTTGCTCCCATGTAGGAAAAGTTTGGGACAGATGTGGCCTTTCAAAATAAAAGTGAATAAACAATTATTTGTACAGGTAATGATTAGGTTGTGAGGAAATACCTTTAAAATAATATTAGAAAATGCTGTTTAACAACAGTTGATTGGATCACTGAGAAGATTAATTATTATTTGGCACATTAATTTTCAACACTCTGCTACGCGCATTTCAGAACACAAATATTCACTATAGGTGATTCTGTAGCTTTTTGCCTTGAGTATTCAACTCTACTTTTCCACTGTAACCTATCTCAAAGAGTGTCTAAAACTTACTTACAAACTGTTTATAAAAAGAGGTAAAATAAATCCAAAGAGTGCATTAAGACTTCTTCAGGGACATGCACTTTTTCAAAGAGCAAGGACTGATTAAACAAAAATAATCCCACACAGATGCAGTTTCAGAGCTATCTGTTCCAGAATCTACATTTGGCAGTAGAGTATGCCTAGGGAAAGAGTACAACATGACAAGGAATGTTATATACGTAAATGAATTAGGAACAACAGAGGGAAGTAGATGATTAATCTTTATAGATTGCGAGATACCTGACCCTCAAAAGAAGGGAGAACTGCACAGGATTTCTTTGTTTTTTTCCTCCTCCTTCATTTTAGCCTTTTCCTTAAATAGACCTACTATCTACAGATCTTCTCAACTGGATTTAATTTAGTATCACTGAAGCAGATACTTACAAACGCACTTTGGCAATGTAGTAAGAATTTTGTGATAAGCTGGACTAGTATCGAAACATACAATAAAAAACCACTGAGATGAATTTCACTTCCCACATAAATTTATGTTTCAGATTGTTACACTCAGCAATTTTCAGCTGACGAAGCAACAGCCAACTACAATACCAGGCCTCTTAAACTAGGAGATGAGGTGACAAAATTAGAGGTTTGCATTAAATGTGAGTCAGTTTATTTAATCTATACAAATGTTTGCTATTTAGATGAATTCTGTTTTTCTTTTTTTTCTTTCAGTAAAATTATACTGAATACTTCTGTTGCTTATTCACTGTCCTCCAGGTACTCAAATAAAGGATGAGAAAAAGACACTGCCAAACACAGCACTCATTTGGCAGTTGTATAATAAGAAACTGTATGATAGTAAGAAACTCAAGACTGAGTCCTGTATGAGAACCAACCAGTCATGCAGCCTCTGCAAAGTCCATAGTATTTCAGATAAAAATTCTGCAAGTATCTGCACTTAGATGAGGAATATAAGAGTTGCTCATGTTCTTCAAGTGTTTGAAAGCAATCAACTCAGCAAGGTGGGAGACATCCAGTGTAATTAATAGCAAGCCCAAGTGTGACTGCATTCTCTGTAGTAAGCCCAAATGACAGGAACAACAGTTCATTTGATTGGATTCAACTGATTCAACTGTTCTCTCCAATGGCTTCCCCAATTAGTGCAGAGTTCAGTTTAAGGTCTGTGTCCTCATTTCCATGGCCATTATGGGACTGGACCTAGTTACTATTAGATCAACAGTGAAATCAAAGCCTGTGAGTAAAAGTATATTTCCTGAAGGGTGATATATACAGAGGTGACTACTTAGTTAAAATTTCAAGGAATTAAAAGTATCTAAGCATTATGAACAATATTAACTGTCCCCCTCTACTCAGCTCTTGTGAGGCCTCATCTGCAGTACTGCATACAGGCTTGGGGCCCCCAGTACAGGAAAGATGTGGAGCTCTTGGAGTGAGTCCAGAGGAGGGCCACTAAGATGATCAGAGGGATGGAGCAGCTCTCCTGTGAGGAAAGGTTGAGGGAACTGGGCTTGTTTAACTTGGAGAAGGCTCCAGGGAGAACTCATTGTGCATTCCAGTACTTGAAGGGAGCGTATAAACAGAGGGGGAATGACTGTTGACATGGATTGACAGTGATATGAAAAGGGGGAATCTTTTAAACTGGAGATGGGAGATCTAGGTTAGATATTAGAATGAAATTTTTCAGACAGTGATGACACACTGGAACAGGTTGCCCAAGGAGGTTGTGAATGCCTCATCCCTGGAGGCATTCAAGGCCAGGCTGGATGTGGCTCTGGCAGCCTGGTCTGGTGGTTGGCAACCCACATTAGCACATAACAGGGGGGCTGAAACTAGATGATCTTTGTGGTCCTTTTCGACCCAGACCATTCTATAATTCTATGAATATATTCTGCAGGAAAGAATCAAAACACATTACTCAGACATGGCTTAAGAGTTACTTTGATACCTGCTATGCAAATACAGCAAAGATGACTCCTTTAATTAAGTGCCGCAACTGCAATTTAGCATGTAACCTGGAAGATTAGGATACACCATAAAGGCAACTGAGAAACTGTAAATTTATCAATGAGTCAAACATCCCACACTTGAGCTATCATTACAGCATATCCAGCAAAATCTTGCACTGCATGTTGCAGGCCAAAGAGAGACTGAAAACCATTAAAATGCTACAGATACAATTATTAGTACAATTATTATATTATATTATTAATTAATTAATTATTATATTAATTATTATATGTACAATTATTAGTGTCTTGGACACTAAGTAACAAAAGGCATCCAATCCATGATATCAAGTAGAATACACAGGCTACCTGCTGATAGATGAGATCAACAAGCTCTTGCAAAGCCTCATCTGTAACGACCCAGCCATTCAGCGTTTCAGCAAACTGTTCTATTTCAGTTTCAAAACAACCTGGTTGCTCAGTGAGATGGTTTAGGAAGCCTTGTACATATTCTGCCAAAGTCAGATAGCCACCATATCCATCTTCAAAGGAAGAATCCTATAGCAATGAAAAAACATAATATTTAATATGAACCTAGAGTTGTTACACTTGCCAACTCCAGAAGCAACCATACAGCCCTTAGTTACCAGTAACTCCTGATGCTGGGCATGAGTGATAGCAATTCTTACTACCTGGTTCACAAACATTTTTAGAGAGTATAAACCTCAGTACTTCAGAAAGCTTCAGTAGTGCTATGAGAAGAACTAAGTAACATGCTTTTACAGAGACTAGGGTCTCTCAGACAAGCATGCCAATAGACTAAAAAAAGAAATAAGGAATAACACAAAACAAAGAACAACCAAATTACACGGTTTGCTATAATGGATGTAAGATCAACAAGCTAAGGAGTCAGTATACCTTCTAAGAATAGAAACTACCTAATTGAGACTCAAAACCTTTCTTCCTGTGTACACATACTGTGCTGCAGATAAATGAACTGTAGAAGGAAAAGTAACTGGAAATTGGAAACAAAATATTTTGCACTTACAGAGAGTGCCACTGTGCTCCAAAATAAGCAAGAGAGGGAGAAAATGCAGAAATATAATAAATACAGTAAAGTATTCCTATGCAAAAACTTAGGCCAGGAAAACTGATTTTCTAAAGCTAGTGAAGCTGCATTTTTTTTGGCAACAGATCAAAGATAAATAGTTCTGTTTCATGTCTTCTTAAGTGGTATTGCATTAATTTGCAGTTACTGAGTTAAAAAGCAGACAGTAAACACACCTGCTCCCTAAAGAAAGAAGGAGCAAGCACAATAATACTTAACCAATGTTTATGCTCTCAGTGATGAAACAGACGACTGCTAATTTTGTTCACTAAAAAATGAATGCAGCATTTTAATACAGTTACGGATGATTACAGTGCAAGTACATGAGAGGAATAGCATAGGAAGAATGTATTTTGTGATGTAACTCACTAGTAATAACATATACTTTAAAAACTGAACAGATTTAGTTCAGTAATTTCTAGAGTAAGTTACATTTCTTACTGGCAGACTTTAAGGTTTAACAGAGAATACAGCACCACATACTATATAAACTAAATGAAAATAAAGCAAATTCCTCTTGGTTATTTTTAAATAGCAGGTAAACAGAAGGCTGTACACTTATTTACACATTCATTACAAATTTATGCTTCAAAGCCCTGAAAGTCAAATAGAAGCTTTCCATTAATTTCAGTGATTTCTCAGTCTAATTCCTTCCCTTTATGTTATTATTCACAATGAAAAAGGATGTGCAACTAATCCAAAAATCAGCAGTTCGCCTCTCTTCTATTAGGAGTCAGTTCATAAACTTAAAGAACTAACAATGTACAGGCTAGGCAGATGGCAAATAACCCTCTGATTTACATAACTTTAAAAATCAGGAAGTCTACAGGGAAGATCCATTAGCCAAACCTGCTCTCAGGCTGTTTCAACTAGTAGGCCAAATGCCATTTTCCCATACCTAAGATGTATTCACAACATTTCCATTCAGACAATTACAATTTATCATTGTTTTGATTTAAGCTTACAACAAAGTTAGTGAAAAATTAAGTATAAGAAATGTTGCATGTACAAGGTCGCATATTTGAGTTGTTTGTATGAGGTGAAGGGGCACAGAAGCATCACCTAACTGGAGACAAACAGAATGACTGGATTTTATATAGACACACATAGCTATTACCATAATTTACTAAAGCACAAGAAATCAACAGATTATTCTTAAGTTAACGCATAATAGCAAAAGCACTGTGTACTTTATAAGAGGAATGTGAATTTTCAGGTCTAGAAACTCCTGGAAACATTACAAAGGTGATTTGTAATTTGAATTGTATTAATTCTAGTTCAAAGAAATCAAAGTTTCTCAAAACTTTGTTTTGATTTCAATTTTAAAACTCGTGAGTAAAACCTGCGCAGAAATAAGGTGCTCTAAACTTACATGTTATTGCAGATTAACTCAGTTTATGAAGTTAATTCAGTACAAAAGATCACTATTCCATGCACAGTATACACTGATTAGGGTTCCTGCAACATATCAAACATATTCAAATAAACAGTCTAGGTTCTGCTAGGATTTTGAAGTTATTTTTATTAAAAGCTGGATCACTTCTAATATATTCCCACAACACAGCAATGAGGAGCTCCCACATGCCTACATGCTTTTGCAGAATAGCTGAAAAGCAACACTGCCGGCCCCAGGAGTTTGCAATTATACACATGCAAACGCATGACAATCTAAATGGCATTTATTTTTGGGTCCTGAAACTGAAATGTAGTATTCACAGAAAATATGCAATGTACTGGGGCAATGTAATACTCTTTCCCTTTCTCAGCCATTAAGTGAAGAGCGCTGTGTTGGCTTTTTGCTTACAGTTGTATATTGGCCATAAGCTTGTACTATCCAGGAGAGCCACTTTATTCAGTAAGCTGGCAAAGCAGGTAATATCAAGCAACATTATTTTGCTCATAAGAAAAAAAAGAATTGAAAACACCTAACTCCATGCTTAGTATCCAACGTAAGTTTTTTTTCCTATTAGTTACTCAAAATCTAGTCTCAGTGTAGTTGCTTATTATCACGTCACTGTTTTCGTATATTTTTAAAGTTTAAATTAAGCCTTCATCTCTGCTTCAAACACTTGAGAAATCTGCATAAAAGCACAAGCAAGCTTTTACTTAAAAAACACTGTAGACATAAATGCAACGCAGACTCCACAAAGATAGCTTATTCAGATGTTTCTGGAGTCAATGTCTGGTGTAATCAACAAGGAATGTGGTTATCTACTGCAAACTTCAGAAAAACACCCCACACTAACTCATGTACACCACAATACCCACCATCACTATCACTACCTTGACTCCGGAGGTTATCATCTGAATTTCTGGAATTTTTTTAGGCAAATGTAGCCTTGAAGATATCAAGAAGGCATAGAAGTAAATTGCAATAAGCTAAGAACAGAAGATTAACACTTACTGCCAAGTTCTGATTGAAGTTTGGGTTATATCCTGATGGATAAAACTCAGGTGCTTTAACTGACAACTTTGACATTGCCACAGGAGTCACAGCCACCTGAGGTTTTGCCATTTCTGGTCCAGCAGTAGGAACTGAAACTCGTGATCCAGATGGGATTCTTGTCTGTTGCAGGTGCTCTGGAAAGGTTTCATTAACAGCTTCTCTCAGACATTGCTTGATTGCTATGTGCTCCCACATAATATGCAACTTTTTCAACCTTGAATATACTTAGAGTACATACTTGCAAGCATACTTAATCTTACTTAGATATTTTTATTGCTTTTTTGAAATATAGGTTAAGTTTTCAATTTTGGAAACTGATGCCTTTTCACATTACACTCTGATTTCACGTGACAGTGATAAAAAAAGAAAAGCCAATAAAAAGAGGGACGACCCCCTCCCTCGCAAACACATTTTCTGAGCGCTATCGAGAAAACAGTAAATCTACTTCTGGTATGTCTGTTTTCCTACTGGATTTTTCAAAGCTTCTAAATACAAAAGAAAGATTTCAAAGATCAATAAACAGCAGACAACACTATTTTTTAACACATTCCTCAAAGCTATTATGTCCTTCTTATAAATAATTTGCAAAAACAAAACGAACCAAATGCATAAAAATCATATTTTTTAAAACCATATGTTTGCACATTTCCAGAAGTGCAAATTAGAATAGCTCCCAAGTTTATTGAAAAGGAAATCTGATACCTGGTCCTTAAAAGTTAACCAATCAACAATGCCTCGGGCTGCATTTGCCTTGGGTTTATGTTTTCTCAAACCTGTAGGCCGGAGTTGAGACTTCTTCGATGCAAGGAAGGATGAGACCATCTGCGGTCGGATTAATAGACGGATAACACGCACGCACAGATGTGCGCGCACAAAAGGGGGGCAGGGGGCGTCGTGCAGAGGCTACGATGCAGCATTACGCCATTCCCCGGGTGCAGGCCCACAACCCAGAAACGCGACAGGGGCCGAGAGGTGCAGGGACAGGCCCCCTCCCGGCCCGGACTCGCCAGGAGAACGGGCCGCGGAAAGCAGGCCCTCAGCTCAGGCCGCGCCGTTCTGCTGGCCGAGCCGGGCCGAGCAGCGGGGCGGGGGAAGCCCCGGTCTCGGCGGGACGGGGAAGAGGGGCGAGCGCGGCCCGACAGGGCTTGGCTCCCGGCTCCCGCGGCGCCGAGGTCGGGGGCGGGGGCCCGTCGCGCGGCGCGGCGGCCCAGTACCTGCGCTTCCAGTGCCCAGCGGCGCCGTCCTCGGAGGCCGCAGGGGCTCCTGCTGGGGGAGGAAGCCGCTCGTTTTGTTCTGCTGCTGATCGACCGCGCCGGGGCCGTGCGAACCACCGCCTCCGGGGCAGGCCCCGCCGCAGCTCTCCGACGCGCCGGCGAGAATGCTACCTCCGCGGCCCCGACCTCGACCGGCACCGGGAGCTCGGTCGAAATTCTCGGCCATACTCGGCCCGGGACGCTCAAGCGCTTCGAACGGGGCGGGGATGCGAGCCGGAGCGGCGCGGCGCCGGGTCCCGCCTAGCCGCGGCCCGAGCCCTCCACTTTCAGTTTCACCCCGCCCGCAGCGCCCTCTGCCGGCCGCCAGCAGGCCGCACGTCGCCATAGCGACCCCAGCGCCGCCCCGCAGCAAGTAGCATCGCGCCGAGAATGGCGCCGCCTGGCGGCCGGCCGCCTCGCCCGGCACAGCGCTCTGCCGTAGGGCGGGCACCCGGCCCAGCGCGAGGCTGACCGCTGCCGGCCGACAAGAGCGGGTTTACCGTCGTAGCGGCCCGCACGGGGCGCTCCAGCAGCGCTTCGGAAATCTCGATTCAGAAATTATCGATTTCTATGACAGCGCAGAGGCAGTACGATAGCAAACCGCACCTGCAGGCGCCTCATTTGAAGCGTCACACCACCACCTGCACAGATGGCCGTTTTCCTCGAAAATTGCGGCGTGGGGAAAAGCTGCAGGCTGAACTGGAAGGTAAAATTTAGCCAACAGTTAGGCCTCCAGTGTGACAATAAAACCGTGTTGGTGAATGGTGAATTTCTGTGTATAATTTCTACATCAGATGTGACAACAAACAAGTTTAGTTTTACAGCCTTCAATGCCAGCAAGAACTCACTCTACAAGACAGGCTATGTAATGCATTTTTCTTATATTATCTCACTAACTGCAAATGATTCAATTCACACACCCCTTTGCAACTTAATTCACCTATTTTTGTTCAGAGTCCTGCTGTGTTTGCTCTGTGATTTTTGCACTCAGGGAGAGAGCAGTTGCGCTGGGCTGTCCAGCACATGCCGCCGCTGGCAGCCCAGCACTGTTTGTAGTTTGGTTCCCAGAACAGCCTGACCCTGACCTTCCCACCTGCTGTTTCCAAAGCCCAATCCAAAGGTTCACGTGCTGGTTCCAGCTCAGGTGATGATTCATAAAGATGGAAAATATGTGAGCCCGTATGAAAACCTGTAGGAAATCAAAATAGCACTGTCCCGTTTTCAAAATATAATTACTGTGACATCTCAGACGGTATGTCCCTGTTTATTGTTACACCTTACTATTTTGAATGTAGGTTATAGAGTATAAAGCACAGTTAAGATATATTATTTCCCCAAGGTATGTACTGGACTGATTTTTGTCAAGACAAACTTGGCCAGATAGTGAAGGTGACACATTTACAATTAATTGGGTACATGGAAAAACTGACCCTATGCAACTACTGCTGAAAGTGAAGTCTGACAAAGAAATCAATCTAAACTGAACAACTGAAACCATAACAAGTATTGGAAGTTTTGATTTTTCAAAGCATTAGACTTCACTTTTGTAAATAACTGACAAAAGCAGTCGTGAGCAGAATTGCCAAACTTTTCAAGAAAAAAAAAAGCTACTAAAATAACTGTTTATTCAGTGCTTTTTTTTGTTTGTTTGTTTGTTGTTTTTGTTTTGTTTGTTTTCTTTTTCTGTTTGTTTTTCAGTCCTAGTTTTAAGGTCTGTGTGTGACTTCTGGTCACAGTTGGAAATCTGGGAAGAGAGAAAAGCTTAGATCAATGTGAAAAGAGAAGTCAGACTCTCAATCTTTGGTTTCAGAATGCAGAGGCTTTAAGAAACATAATAGTACAGGCATCACCACTGTTCAATGCACCCATCTTTCAGTAAAGCAAATCTCATGAATTAAGATGTGTATCCATGAGGAATTAAGCTCCTTGGGTTATCATTACTATGCCAGACAACTTTTCACCTTTGGTCACAAACTGAGTTCTTTTCACTTAACAGACATTCCCTTCACTTTACTATAAGGAGTGTTTGACAGCTACTTACACTGCAGAGCAAAATGTGATCTCATATTCATCTTTCCTTTACAGACACAACCGAAATCTGCGTCAGAGTGAGCGGGAATCCAAGTTTTCATCCCAAAGCAGGAATCTTAAAAAAAAACCCAAAAAACTAAAAAAAAACCTGATAATAATGAAAGCCAAAACTGTAATTCCCAGATACTACCCGTAATCGTCAGCCTCTTTAAGCAGTGCCCGCAGTTCCACCTGCGTGTCCCAGGCTGGGTGCACCAACCGCATTGCAACTCCCGCTCCCGGAGCGCCCAGCCGCGCCCTGGCAACCTCACACGGAGCTCCGCAGGCCTGCACGGACCTGCTGGTTTTTTTTTTTTTTTTTTTTGACGTTATTTCTAATTAAGGAGAAGATGGGGCAATCGCTCTTTGGTTTTAAAGAAGGACTGGCTTCAATAACTGCCACGACAGTGATCCCCAGGAAGTGACACCCGTGAGGTACCTCGCCGCCGCGGTCAGCAGGGTCCAAGACACAGAGGGCGCAGCAGCACGTAAGATGAGCTCTAACAGGATTTTTTTCACAGAAACGTGTTTATAAACAGCCGGCCCAACGGCGGCCCCGGGGCCACCGCTACGTCCTGCAGGCTTCTCCTCAGCGCCGGGCGGGGCGGGGCGGGGCGCGCGCGCCCTGGAACACCTCACCACCGCCCCGCGCCCGACTTCAGCGCCGTCACGTGACACACGCCCCGTCCGCGCGCGAGGCCGGGGCCGCCGCGTGACTGGCTCCCGCGCTCCCCCCGCTCCTTCCGGGTCGTCCCCCCCGACCCCCGCTCCACCCCCGCTCCGCCTTCTCCGGGCCCGCCGCGCCGCCTCACCCCAAGGTCGGTCAGTGCCGCGGCGGGGCCGGCGCCGGCGGCACGGCTGGTGGGTGCGGAGCGGAGGAGCTGGGGCCGGGAACGGCGCCGCGAGACCTCCGCTTCGTTCCCGCGAGGAGTGTGGGCGGGGTGGGAGGAGGCGGTGCGCTCCCGTAGTCGAGGAAGGGCAGCGGGAGCGGGAGGAAATCGGGAGAAAGGCGGTGACTGGCGGGCTGGGGGCGCGCCCTGCGCGGGAGCCGGGACTGCGGCGCGGAGCGAGCGGCTGGGCCGAGGTCAGCCGAGGGCCGCCGGGTATTAAATGTCAGCGGGAGGTGCCACTGAGGCGGCGGGACGCTGACTTGACTGCTTCGCTGCCTTCGCAAGGGCGCGCGGTGGGTCTGGGAGCGAAGCGCCGTTCACGGTCCTGTCCGGGTCGGGCGCGGCTCCTGCGCGGGGGGCTGCGGCCCTTCGGGGGCTCGGGCGGAGGCCCGGCTCGGTCTGGGTCCCGAGGGCGGTCGGAGCTACTTGTTTAGAGCGATGGTCTGAAGAGAATGCGGTTCTAAGCCGCGGCATGCCAACGTGTGGGTCAGCTTGCAAGGTCAGTTCTGTCGTGTCCTTGTTTAGCTCGATAGTTTTACTCGCTTCCTCCTCCCCAGCTTTACTCTGTTACCTCACTTCGAAAAAGTTGATTTTGTGTTCCAGCTGGCAAGAAAAGGTAGAGAAAAATGACTGTTTTATGGCGGGCGGCGGTCCTCCGGACTTCAGCTGCTGAGTTTACATACCTTCTGCCTCCTGTCATTATTAACTGTCGCTTTGTTTCCCCGTGCGCGGCAGGGATTCCATACGTGGCAAGGAGTCGGCTGGGAGGTCGGGGCGAAATGGCGAGCCTTCTGCGCGTTGCTGTAACTGGGTGCTCAGTGCCTGCCCTTGGTGCTGTGCTTCCACCCAAGGTACACTCCACAAAGATGCCGTGTTTGCGAATGTTTGGAACCCACCAGGCACTCTGGTCCCAGGCAGCCCTGAAGCCAGGTAAATGGCTGTTGCAAATAATCCCTTGTCTTAAAATTCATTTAGATATGTTAGCACAGAAAAACCTTAATAAGGACACACTTAAGCCATGCCAGTGACTGGCAGTTCAATTTTATGCTAGTTTACAAGGCTTTATATCCAAGTCTTTATTTTGAGTGCAGTGGATTCAAATACTCTTCAGAGGTAGGTGGTCAGAACTTCTGCTGACACAATGTTTCTCTCAAGCACAATTAAACGAATGTATTTCTTTATTACCAGCCTGAGTTCCCCGTGAGTTTTGGTAGTGTGGCTCTTTGTGTGAATGTAGGGGGAAATACCTCCCTCACAAAGGGAGCATCTGAAAGCATAGCTGCATGCAGATATAATTATAATGTCTTAAGAAAAATCATGACTTGTTTTTTCCATGAAACTGCTTTATGTTGCAGCACTCTGAGGAATTTCTGGACTGCATCTTTATGGTTAGGGTTTGTTGGTATGTTTAAAGAGATTAAATAAATTCAACTTAGTGTTGGTAATGGACAAGTTCAGATGTTCTCAGAAAAAGAAAAGAAGGAGGGTAGGATTGGGGAGTCCTTGGTTCTAGTTTTTGACGTGAGCGTGGTGTATGAAAATCTATTTCTTCTTCTTTTTTTTCTTCTCTGTCCTATCCTATATGTAGTCTGACAAGCAGAAGACTGGAGGTTATGTAAGACAGCTTTAATGGTATTTTTGACCATTATCTTGTACAGGTCATGTATCCCTGAAAGACAGTGGGGACCTTTCTTCAGTGCTAGTCCAGGGTCCTCAGTCTGAAGCAGATAAGGTGGAGAGCTAGGCTGACTGTGCATGCAGTGCACCATAGGTGCCGCATTATCAGGTCTTTTGGAGGCACAGAAAAGTAGAGATGTTTTCTGTTTTGACAACGAAGGCTGTAAGAACCATACCATAGATCTCATACCATAGAACTCAGGTATCTGCCAATTCTGACAGTGGGTGTTGTGTTTGGAGTCCTTTCAAATAAGTGACATGGCGTTTGGGGCTTCTGAAAAAAATGTGTTGAGAGAAGATTGTTTGCTTATTCTGTCAGCTCCTGATAGTCAGTATTGCATACCTTTTTATTAAAGTTGTGTGGTAATTTTTTTTTTCCATCTGACTGACACTGTAGCAATCTGGAATCTATCAAAACTGATCAGAACATAGGATTATATCCCATTAATGTGTGATGCTTCTTCCACACCCCTCTTCTTCCAATTCAGTATTTAAATGTGAGAGGTGTCTGTCCATCTTATCATTGTAAATTGTCTCTTGGTTGAGCATATTAACCTGGGATGTAGGGAATGAAGTTCAGAGTTCTTTCTCAAACGTCCTAGGAAGGAGCTCTTGTTTTGTGATGGCTTTAACAACAAATTTGATTGTGAAACTGAAATATCTCTTCAGTTTTTTTGAGTGTGTCTATGGGGTTATTCTCTAGTTTTTAGGAATTGATTTCACAAAATGGAGTGAGAAATCTAATGGTGTAATATCTTTAAACACTCAGTGCTGTCATTTTTGACCTCTTGTAGAAGCTTCATTGTGTACTGTTTATAATATTTCAATGCAGTTGTTCAGTGCTGAAAATTATGAGGGTTGATAAATCTTCTGGTTGATAATTAAGCTGTCCTTATGTTTCATTTTGGTAACATGAGATTTGTCATTCAGTAGAGGGCAAATCAAGGATAAAACAGTAATTGAATGACAAATGACTAGCAGTAATGTAGCCTGTGTAAACTTCTACGTGCTTTTGAAACAAACTCCAATAGCATATGAAGTAGCTACATTTTTTCTTAATTTTAGAAATTACGTTTGCTTAACCTGACACTTGGGAAAATTGATGTAATACTAAGTAGGTTAATTTCTTGTAAAAGAATAGCACGCTGTAATTCTTGTTGAGCCTGTAGCTATTCATTCCAGTTTCTCAGGTATGCTTTCATTTTGTCCCCGATATCTTATGTACAGGAGTAACAGCTGCCTTTGCAATGAGGAGATATGGAGTCAGTTGAATAGTAGACTTTGGAGCATGGATATGTCTCATTATTATTTACTTTGCTACTATTTTCTTTCTTTCTCGGAAACATAGGGATTTTAATGCAGGAGTAAGCAAGTATTCCAGTTGCCAGCATCAGATGCTTCAGAAACAGATGCAGAACTTTTCCAAACCCTGGTAATAGGTGCTTATGGAGTAATTGGCTCTCATATTTCTTGCACTTCCAGACTGGTTTGTCCACAAATCTGTAACTTTCACTCTATCTATCTTGGGATTATTGATGTCCTTTCAATTTTGATGTTTCCTTCTTAAAATTTTCTATTTTTTTCTAAGTCTTGAGTATCTTTTTAACCACAACAGTTCATTATTAATTCTATAGATAAGGTACACATTATTCATAAACCACATACATTCTCCTAACATTTTTTAAAAAATCTCGATACTTGTGTAAGAACAGGGCTCAAGTGTTTGTTTAATCTTCTGTATCATTCTTTTTTTTTTTTTTTTTTCCTACATCATATTGCTGTTCTTCGGAATTTGTCCTCGTCTTCAGAACAGGTGAGATGGTTTGTTTAAAGCTGACGGGGGAATAAATTTAGCATTTAGGCAGGTTTCATTTTACTATCTCAGAAAATGTAGCTTATTTCTCCTTTCTCTTCTCTTTGGGACAGTCTCTGGTATTTTTTGATCCTGTTTTCTTACATGCTACTTCCTGAAATCAGGTTATGGAGATTTAAAAAAAAAAAAAAAAAAAAAAGATTTTTCTTTCATTTTCTTCACAAAATGTTCTGAACTTTCTTGATAGTTTTAATTTAGGATCTTCTTTTAACACTTGATTTGGATATGGAATAATCTAAGTGGAGAAGATTCTTTTATAATTCATCTTAATTGTTTGCCTTTTGAAACTTGGAGATCTAGATTTTATTTACCCAAAGTTGAATCTGTGCTTTGCACCTCTTCTCTTTACTCAATGGAGATTATATTGAGAGGATGAGAAGGTATAGTAATAAGAGCAACTTACTTAAAATTACTTTATTCTTGTTGATTTTCTTAAATTCCAATACATATATGGGATACTAAGTTTCTAAGGCCTGTGAAAGTTAATGATTCTACTTTTGCAATTGGCAACATCCTTTTTGCATAGATTCTTCTTATCGGAAAAAGTATGTGCATCTCTTACTCAATTAACAAATTCATAATTTTCATACAACTCAAAAATTGGTCAAGGAATCTGTAACTCCATTTGCCCATGGAAAATGTTATGGGTGTCATAAAGCAGTAAGTTATTAAAACATATTTTAAATGGCTCTTAAAAAGGTTATCTCATGTAGAGGCCTGGAAACTTGGAAGCTTCATTCATTCAGCTTTAATCCCCAACAAAGATAACAGGTGTAATTTCTTGAGGTGAAAACTAAATCAAGATCCTAAGTTTATAAATTGCAGATTTCAGCCTTTTGGAACTGATGACTTAAATGAAACTGCTAAATTCAAATCTGTGTTTTGTGTTGATAGTTGAGATTCCTTCAGATACTTTATTCATCATACCCTCACCTGAAGTTTTAGCACAGATCTTTGCTTTGCAGTTGTAGATGTCTGCTCCTTTTTGTTGTTCAATAATGTAGTAGATCAGAGGAATCTCCTTGAAAAGTATCCTATTCCTTCTCTAGATAAAGCAAACTGACATCTGGTTGGTTCATTGTTCTGGTTGCTAGATATTTGGTAGTGAGACAGAGTAGAAAATAGGACAGAGGAATGGCACTTATTGAATGTTTGTCTCTGAA